ACTTTACCTTTAATGTATATATATATATATATATAGTAGTCAGCCTTACAACAGTTATTTTTTACAGATTAGAGGAAATATTATTTTCTTGCGTAGTATTTATGCTTTATTTCTGTTTTAAATATGACTAGTTTTCTGTTCTGGTTAATTTTTTATTTGACGTCTGATTCCGAAATTATATATCATACACACACATACACACATAATATATATATTTATATATATAACCTACATTTTTTCGTTGATTTTCAGATATATATATGAACCTCGTAGCTCTTTTAATAATATTAAGTAAAATTTTTTGTTTATGGAACATTTCTATTAATTAATTATTTTTGTAATCCTGGTTGCTCTTTTTCATTTTGGTTTGGTATTTAGATTACGATTGCCAAATTTTAAAAGAACATAAAAATAATATACCGAATTAGAATTTCCAGAAGTATACGATACCCTGACGCCTCGGTAGCTTACATATTTCTGGAATTAATAAACTCTAAACTTTACCTAATAGAGAGATCCATTAAGCTGATTTTGTTTCGTCTAATATATCTAATGTCAAATAAAATGTTTGGATTCAGATCAGAATTTAAAAAATAGGTTACTGTAGTAACAATATGTAACATTTTTCAAGGTCGTGTCGATTTACTAACTCCAATGATTGTTTTTGTATGTATTTGTATTTGTACAAGTAAAAACATTTAACATCATCTAATATAAACATAATGAGTTTCGTCTCAAAGCTCTAAAATATGCAAAAATCATGTTAAATGTTATATTTGTAAATACGATACACATATAAAACTTTACCATATTTAATTTTATGAGGCTTCTGATATGAGTAAACGTCTGCTACTTTGTAAGTCACCCCAAACATTGTAAAACTACTCAACTTTGAGCAGAATATTTTAATGAAATATGTCCAAAACACTCTAGTCTACACATTATAATAAAAACTTTTATGACGTGTGGTTGCTATTCATTACGTTCAATAATGATTATTGAGTCTTCCAAATGGTCAGCTTAAAAGTACCTACGATGCGCACACTACTACAATAATTTATACTGTAGAAATACACTTAAATGAAGGTTTTTGACAACACATAGTGGCCATTGCGTGAGGATATTAAATTACTCTCACATTTTACTAGAGGATATAAGACACCAAACCTAGGGAATTACGGCTAAGGATGGAAAGGTGGGAGAGGATACGTTCTGCATGCAGTGCATAAGAAAGAAAAAGCACATTTAAACCATAAATTATGTAAATACAATAATTTATTTTATATAAAAACAGTCGAAGTTAAACAGTGATTTTATGGTAAACACGTTTTATAAAGATCAGAACTTTAACAAATGGGTTTAAATTCGTTAATATGGAATGCTCATATTCATCATGGGATTTAAAAAAATTATACTCTTTTTTTCAATTCTCCTTCTTAGATTTTTTGTTTAAGAGAAAGAATTGTAACTCTTAAATAAGTTAGTTATTCTTTTTTTTTCGTACAAAACTCTATATTGGATTCTAGGCCTTACAGTGCATCTAATCTCTTATCAAGGTCCTTACTTGAAAGAACACAGACAAATTGAGAGGATGGATATAACTGTTCTAATGTTTGAGAAGGAGTAATCCTATTGGCGTGGATTTTCTACATGAGTTGAAAACAATCTATTCTTTAGGATTTACGATTTTTTAATGATTCTCGTTATCTGCTTTACGAAATCCCTAAAATGCTGTATAGGTTTTAGCTGAACAAGAAAATTAAAAATAATTTTTACTCCTTTTTTTAGTGGTAAAAAACTAAAGTACCAGAGAATAGTTTTAATTTTTTCGGTAATAAAAAGTTACGTTGTTCATAGTTTTTAAAAAAGTTACGTTGTTCATAGTTTTTAAAAGTTACGTTGTTTATAATTTTTATAAAGTTATGTTGTTCATAGTTTTTGGAATATATATTCTGAATGCGAAAATAAAGTATGTGGAAGTCCAGAAATGATATATTTTATAGAAGTATGATTGTGTATAAATATGAAGTCCAGAAATGATATATTTTACAGAAGTATGATTGTGTATAAATAGGAAGTCCAGAAATAATATATTTTATAGAAGTATGATTGTGTATAAATAGGAAGTCCAGAAATGATATATTTTATAGAAGTATGATTGTGTATAAATAGAAGTCCAGAAATGATATATTTTACAGAAGTATGATTGTGTATAAATAGGAAGTCCACAAATGATATATTTTACAGAAGTATGATTGTGTATAAATAGGAAGTCCAGAAATGATATATTTTATAGAAGTATGATTGTGTATAAATAGGAAAGATACTGTAATGAAATCTTAATTTTGTTCTCAAATTATCTGATAGAATGTGAAAGATGTAAATTGTGTGTAGACTTTTTTTTTTTGAACGAAAAGTTAGATACCTTGTACCCACTTTTTTTTCACTGTTACATTGCGGCTGCTAATGAAGTGTATCGTCTAAAGTCTGCTGAAATATTAAGTTTAGTTAGGAACAGATGAAGCGTTAATTTTAAATAAAATGTCAAATCGTCATAAAAACAATACAATACAATACAAAGTAAAACATTTAAAAACACTATATTTTTATATTATCGAAGTTATAAGTAAAAAAAAAGTTAAACTTGTTGATAAAATTCAAACTATGATCTACGCGAATTAGTTTGAGAAGGTAGTCCTACATTTAACACTATGATCTACGCGAATTAGTATTGAGAAGGTAGTCCTACATTTAACACTATGATCTACGCGAATTAGTATTGAGAAGGTTGTCCTATGTTTAACTCTTTCACCATTAAAAAAACGTAAACTTCCCTAAGGTTTCTTGAGTTTTTCAAACACACTATACACATAAACGTTTCTTATCACAATGTGAAGATTTAAATTATCTATAAGAGTCCAGCACGAGTAAGGGAAATAAACCATTGCATGTTACAGAAAATCAATTAAACAAATACACAGATTGTGGTAGTTTACTAACCTTCTTTATAAGAGGGCTAGTTATCTTGCTATTACTGGTGATTTCATAAAACTGCTATTTCTAAAAGTCCTTTTATGTCTAGGATCCTGACGTCAAAAGCTTTACCTGTAGAGCTGGAAATCCTCAGATTGGAATAACAGAAGGCAGAAAAGATATTAAAGTAACATGTACGTATTTCGTGAACTCTTTTATTTCGACAATTTTGTTCTTGTTGCTTTTCTTATCTTCCTTCGGCGTATTATCCCGATAAAAGCTTTACCTGTAGAGCTGGAAATCCTCAGATTGGAATAACAGAAGGCAGAAAAGATATTAAAGTAACATGTACGTATTTCGTGAACTCTTTTATTTTGACAATTTTGTTTTTGTTGCTTTTCTTATCTTCCTTCGGCGTATTATCCCGATAAAATTAGAAGTTTTAATTGTGAGTTTATATTGTATTTATATTCAATGTTTTGTTAATTCACTGCGAGATAAATTGAATCTAAGGTAACGTTCCAAATGGTTTAAAGTCTTCTTAATATTGTGGCAAACTTACCACATATCAAAGTGAATATGTTTTTCTGTACTTTATAAGCATATTTTCTCCCCGTAGTGTTAAAATTTGGTAGACTTTATAAACACTTGTGACTTCGAAACTAGGAAGCTCGAAAATTAATAAAATACAATTAATGACACAATTCAACCTTATTGTAAACTGTACAGGTTTATCTCTATTATCGTCCGACTGTTTGTGATTTTAACGCTTTGTAATTTTCAGAAGACACTACACTAATGTTAACACATTAAGTTCACTCAGTGTTTTACTCTGTATTCACACAAGTAGAGAAAGTCCGACTAATAATTTAGTAAGGCCTCCTTTTTGTTACCGTGTTTCTGAAACTATAAACTAGATTCAGTTTTCATTTATTTAATCAGTAACTTCGGTAAGAGTCATGGTAAAAATTCAATACTCAATAACCTAATAATAAGGACACCCTTCGTTTGTCTTGATGTTTAATATATTATATATTATTTTCATATATGTTTATTTTGAGAAACATACGAGTACGTATACACATAAACTCACTCACTCACATGTACTTGAGTTGTATACCAAGACGAGTGAGTACGTTGTATTAAAATAATTTTTGAGTCTCACCACGTCGCTGCAGTCCAGATCACCACGGTCGATCATGCTCTATCTGATGACAATAACCACTCTTCCATGCAAGTTTTTCATATTACACGTTGTAGCGTAGGAGGGCGACGTTTTTTTTTTTACCTAGCGCCTGCTTCAACAGTTCAATCACTCAAAAATTCATAGCCCAGCGGCTTGATCGATATGTCTTTGTATGGAATAGCATGAATACCCGCTTTCGCCTCCAGTTGATTGAAGCATGCGATAGTTGATCGGATATGCTCTGGAAGAACATATTATGCACTTGACTTGTGTCGCTTTTCCTGAATGCAGCCCAGTGGTTAAAATGCTGGACTGTAGATCCTAGGTTACATGGTTCACTCTTCGTTATCGCCCCCCCCCAATCACAGTATGCAGTTTGTGGCCGTAGATGCGTTAAAACGTGACTATCAAACCCCCCTATTCAATTAGAGCAGCCCAGAGTTGGTGGGGGGTTGTTTTGATTACCTGCTTTTCCTCTAGTATATCACTTCAAAATTAGGAACGGCCAATTAGGAATCAGCAAACAACTAGACGGAGATTTTTCTTGATTATGTTGCGTGCTGTTACCTGGAGAATGTGGACAGGTTTTGACACCTGTTATAGTTACCTGTTATAAGGCGCCATTGCTGGGTTGCAACTTGTTGCAAGTTCCTACTTGAATGGTCCTACCCAATTACATCCATATTCCTTTGTTTTCTATCGCTATTTAAGCACAATGGACATATGCGATTTAGAAATTCTTAATCCCTTATCCAATCACGTCTTTCTGGTATGGGTATGCATATTTTGAGTTGGAAAGAGCTGTTACATACTTTTTCCCAAAGCGATAAACTTTTGGTGGAATCACACTACTCATGAAACATCAAATGTAGTTCTGATAAGTTCCGTCTCACTGCGACTTTATATCAGCTGTGCTTGTCACGTGAATGGATGATTTGCATATTAACATTATTTTAATATTACCTACTCAACTGTTTCTATAATACAATTATTCATGCAACATGTTTTATCAAAATATCATAAAAAAGCAAGGATACGGGGATGCTGCTTAATATTACAAAAAGCAAGGATACGGAGATGCTGCTTAATATTACAAAAAAGCAAGGATACGGAGATGCTGCTTAATATTACAAAAAAGCAAGGATACGGAGATGCTGCTTAATATTACAAAAGAGCAAGGATACGGAGATGCTGCTTAATATCATCAAAAACAAGGATCGGAGATGCTGCTTAATATTACAAAAAAGCAAGGATACGGAGATGCTGCTTAATATCATAAAAAACAAGGAAAACGGAGATGCTGCTTAATATCTTAAAAAAGCAAGAATAAGGAGATGCTGCTTAATATCATCAAAAACAAGGATACGGAGATACTGCTTTTACGTTATTATTATTTGTTAATGCTAAAGTTACCAAAACCGTTGCGTAATTATAAGTATATGTATATATATATATATACTTACTTTCTCAATCCACGCGTTGGAAGAAAGAGCTCAGCATACTTACATATGACACTTTTAATTCTGTCTTTATTGGGACCACTTATAAACAAGCCAATTTTGACAACAACAAAAATTTCTTATATTAAAAAAAACGATTTTATACGTTTTTACCTTGAAAGATTGAATTTCACCTTTTCCTGTATAAAATTGTGAAATGCGTATCTTTAATCGTGGTTTATGCATCAAGAGGAGATGGCCAAATCGTGATTTTGATGACAACTTGACTGCTTTTAGAACTATATTACACCCCATTCATTTCGTTTGAATGTTTGTTGTAATCGATCCTACTATTTCCTGGCGTGACACGGAAATGAAAGAACTTAAAACCCCTGCACTCAGTGTCTTTCTTAATGAAAACGGTAATTAGAAGTAGAAAATCAAAAGCAAGTCGAATATAACGACAAAAACCTTCTACTGAGATGTTGCTGTAAATCAAGACCGCAGCACCGAGAACACCCAGCAACTTCAAACTAATTTAGTTTTATTATAATCTATATTACAATGATTATTGTAGTTAACCGTATAATATTCTAAGTTGTAAGTCTTGAAAACGAAACGTTAGAGTAAAAACATGAGGTTACATAAGAAAAGTAATAAAGCTAAAGGCTATAATAACTCGTATTATATGATGTTACTCCATCAGCACGTTAAAGAATTTACTTGTTATAGCATACTGAAATGTTAATTTCAAAATTACAAAAGTGTTGAAAGAAATATTGTAAATTATTAAGAAACGTGTATATTTATTAATGAAAATAATCTTAAAATTATTATACAATTCGATTAATTTCGAAACTCTTCAAGTGCTTTGAAGTAAAACTTGAAAACAAACAAAAAACTAAGCCATCGATTTGCAAGTTCGAGAAGAAAAAGAAAACACTTTTATTATTGTCACCAGTGTTTGTTTTTTTAGTTGGCTTGACGTAAAGTATTCTTTGGGGATAGGTCTACATCTTTAAATTACTTTCCGCTGTCAGCTTTATTTAAGACAAAATGGCTAAACCTCTTTAAGAAAGACAAACTTTGTGTTGGTTGAAGAATCCCACTAAAGCAAGCTTACCCTGAGGACGTCTTGCAGCATCAAAAGTTCAAATAGAGATGAAGAACCAATTTCTAATGTACTTAAAAAGTCCAATGTTCCAATTTACAACACGAACTTCCACAATTATGAGACTACACTAGGGTTAACACATGCTTTACTGTGCATGCGACAATGAAATGCTTATCGTTCCAAATCTCAGAATATCTATAATAGAGTTCTATTATACAGTTGTTTTTCTTCTAAATAGATATTCCAGGATATCTTCTTCCACGTCGCTTTAGTACTTCACACCAACTTTATAATTGAGAAATCCCAATAGCCTAAATAAAAATAGAATTAGAAGATTCTGGAAGAAAAAAAAATCGCTTAGTAATAAAAATCGACCAAAATAGGTTTGTTTGTCCGTTTATTACTAAAACCTAAAGCTACACAATGGATTCTTTTGTGCTCTGTCCACCTCGGGTATCGAAATCCGTTTTTGGCTTTATAAGCCCTGATACTTAAAAGCGAGCCACCAGGGGGTACCAAAATGGGATTAACGATACTTCACATTATGCTGTAGAACTAAAATGTTTTAAAACTGAAGCGAATAGCTTTGTTAATATTTCTATAGAATAACATGCTGTTGAAGTTTTTAATTAAAGTTTTCACCACGTATTTCTAAGTATAAAATCAAGCGTTAAAATATATCTACATTGCACCATGCTAATTTTCACAGTAAATAAAGGATAACTCTCAACACAGAGTAATGGTGTAATAAATTTCTGCTGATTTACAAGATCCTATTTACAGCAAATTTAAGTCTGTGGGCAACAGAAGAAGAAGAGGCAGGCTTAAGGAAATTCATAGTAATAACCTATTAATGTATAATATTGTATAATATATGAATGTACTTCACATGAGATATAGCCGCTCTTCAGAGAGCAATTATCTAATTAATAAGTCTTTACAGTAAATATAAAACAAACCAAATATCATATCATAAAGGATAGCAGAAAATAACGCAAGACAGTAAGGCTTAGTATTAAGCAATTGCCCCCCAGTGGCACAGCGGTATGTCTGCGGACTTACAACGCTAGAATTCGGGTTTCGATACCCGTGGTGGGCAGAGCACAGATAGCCCATTGTGTAGCTTTGTGCTTAATTACAAACAAACAAACAAACAAATTAAGCAAAAATTAAAACATAACGGTTATATATATTAATCACGAATATAAAACAATAGTATAAAATTTCGTGGATATACAGCAACAATAAACACAGGCCATTAATATAGATATTTTTGGATATACATCAATAATAAACACAGGCTATTAATATAGGTATTTTGGATATACATCAATAATAAACACAGGCCATTAATATAGATATTTTGGATATACAGCAATAATAAACACAGGCCATTAATATAGATATTTTGAATATACATCAATAATAAACACAGGCCATTAATATAGATATTTT